GCCTTCGCCGAGATGGTACTGCTGTCTCTCCCGGTAAGGGTGAGCTGCCTGGGGGAAGCTTTAGGTCCCTTGCACGAGTGGATGAAACGTGGCAGCTCTGGCCCCACATCAGCCCCGGGCCCAGCCAGGTGGACGTTCTCCTGGAAGGTGTCAGCCTGAGAAGGCCGAGAAGTCCTTCCAGGCAAAGTCCTGCTCCCCATGGCTTGCCACACAGGCTGCAAGAGGGAGCCTGAGAAGGTGAGCCACAGGGAATGCCGCGAGGTTGAGGCGCAGCCACGCAGCATCAGCCCCTGAGAGCGCATCAGGCGTGTGATAATTCAGGCCCTGGGAATCTTTCCAGTAGATGAACAGAAAAAGAGCAGAAGCAGGGTGATTTCTGAGGCAGACTCATTTTGCTGGTGAAAGGGAATTATAGAAGTGCCCCCTCCCTTCCCCACGGTGGTGTCAACACCTTTCTTTTTCTGGTTTCCCCTCGAGTTGCTGATTGTTCTCTTCCCTAGAGCAGTTCAGCGGGTGGAAATGTAGCGAGGGCATTGGCAGCTTTTACCTCGGCATCATCCAGCCCTGCTGAGAGGCACTCGACACACAACAGTGGTAAAAATGCTGGCAGAGGTACGGCCCCGCTCGCGCTGGCTCTCCTATCGCTCCTGCCGCCAGACAGAGGGAAACCGTACGCCGCAGAGTCTGGGGTTAGAGGAGTCAAAGAGATTGTGAATCCTCAGAGGTGTGTGTGTTGCCGCTGGCTGGCTTTCAGCGTTGGGGGATTGAGCTGGTCTCTGACAAGGCAGCAAATCCGGAGCTGCTGTGCTGGGGAACGCTCTGAAGCGTGCTCTGCAATCAGGCTCGTTGAGTTGCTGCAGCTCTTCTCTGCGCCAAGCGGTGTTTCTCTTTTGGATGGTTGTGGTGTTAAACACTTCAGCAATGAAGAGGCTTTGTTGTGGTCTCTGCAGCATTGCTTTTGCCTTGGCTAGCAGCAGCCTTTATGTTTGAATAAATGCTTTCCCTGGAGTTGGCTGTGGGGGCATGTGCGGGCACATGTGTGTGCGCGCGTGTGCGTGCCTTTACTTGTGGGTGTGCATTGGACACAGCTGTGAACAGGCAATTCTGGTAGGTTCAGCACTTGCCCAAACTTGTTTGTGCGTGCCAAAACAATGTGCTTTTCCTCACGGTTGGGAATGCTGGCCACTGTTGCGGGCTTCTAACAGCGCTTGAGTGAAATTAATGGCTGCTTTCCAGCTACAAGCAGAAACTGTTGCTAGCACCTGGCCCAATTCTGTATTTAGTCTCAGGAAGTGATCAGCATTCGCTGCATCAAAGGAAGGACCAAGCCATACGGATCCTGGCCAGGGCTACAGCTGGACAGGCAGTTCCCCCCTCGTCATGCTGCAGGGACCAGCTCACACATAGCAGTGTACTGTATAATGCATGAGTGAAGGTCATACAATGACCTATTCCTTTGGAGCTTTGTAATTTATTTCCTTTGGCACAGGTATCCTGGTTACACCTAAGTTTTGGGGGGATCAGTTCAGCCCTGCTACAGGCTGGTAATAGAAACACACAACTCCCCAGCTTTTCCTCATCTTCCTCCCATTTATGTCTCCAGGGTTAAAACCTAGTCCAGAATCCCCAGACCAAATTGAATTAGAATTTAACATTCAAAGATTCAGGCTCCCTTTAGGCTCTAAGGAACAGAATGTCATCCTGTCTCACAGTTAATAGCTGCTGGGTAGTCATTTCAAAGCCATTTCTTTTCAGCAAGCTCTACCATAGCAAATTCCAGCAGTGAATGTATTTCTGGCCTGGCCGTGCCTCTAATCCCACAGCTGAGTCTTATGTGTGATTTCTTTTGAAATGCTAGATCTATTTTTTTTTTTTTTTTTTAAAATTCTAGGCAGTGATATTTCTAGGACTTGGCATTTAGAGTGGCAACAGGGTTGTTTATAGGAAGAGAAGGGAAAGGACGGAAGGAAGATGTTGACCTAGCAGCCCTACAAACCTACCGCACTTAATCCACTTATCGCTCTGAATTCCTGAAGCAGATAAATGCTGATAACAGTTAAAACACATCGCTGACAGGAGCAGCATGTTCTGTCCTCTAGAAATACATCAATGCTGGAAACTGTAAAGTTGCGCACTACCATGGGGATGAGCATGATATAAGGGCTGAGGAAGCCCTTGCTGTTCAGCAGAGGTCTTCCACAGGAGGGTAGTAAGCCACTGCCCCCTTCTCCCTCCCTGCCCCAACTACCTTGAGATGCCGTTCAGGCCTGAGAAATGCTGCCGAGCACTGTTGTAACCCCACAGCCCCCCAGAGCCACAGCTGCCTGATCTGTGCCTACATATCTGAAACACCAAGTGGGCCCCAAGTGTCTTGTTACTGCTCTTGATTGTCCTTGCTGCTCAGCGTTAAGACCTGTGAGGAGCAATTTCCAGCTGAGACCAGCCCCGTACAGCTCACATCAGTGTGTCTTGGGGAGAGGAGTTGGTTTTGGCTAATCTGAACTAAACCTTCCCTGGAGGAGTGCAGCTGCTGCACCAGCCTTGCAGAGCCACACAAAGCCACTTGCTCCTCTCCCCATCTGTCAGGGCGCTCAGCAAGGTACCGGAGCTGTCCCTGGGCTCAGGGGGATGCAGCGGACGCAGCTGCATGCCGCCCCCCTGTGTCAAGACCCCTTCCTCCTGAGGACCTGTCCCAGGCTGAAAAGGAGGAAAAATGCTGTAAATCAAAGGTTGCTTTGGAGCAAACCTTGCTCCTACAAACTCTGGAGGGATAAAACAAGTGATAGAGAGTTATTTTTGACTATGGGCAGTTTCCAGGCTCATCTGCCTTCTTAGGTGTTTCCCAGCACTGCTTCCCCCCACCAGTGTCCACAGCCCAGCAGCCTGTGTGAGCAGGCACCCTTGAAATTGCAGCAAAATGCTTTTTTGTGGACAGTGCAAATGTCTCACAAGAAGTGCGAAAGGAGGAAACTGCCTAGAGAGAAGTGAAGACCTCTCAGACATCAGGGTTTTTTTTGAGTCAGACGCTGCTCAGCTGTTGCATTGCAGATGTCTTTGCTAAAAACAAGCTTTCATCGAAATCAAAGATGCTTCATGAGTATAGGCGGCAGGATCCTCCCACAAAGAAATGGATTTTTTTCTTCTTCAAAGG